GTCGGCGAAACCTTCCCGGAATCCTTGAGCGTATCTAAGAGCGCCGACCCTTGAGAACCGAGCGTGAAGAGCCAGCATCCCACCGCTCACTCTGCTGATCGCATCGATCAGAGCGGTACGCTCGTCCAGAGCTCTTTTCTCAAAAGCCATCCGAGCAGACTGTTCATCAGCCAGAAGGCGCTGGAGTTCTGCCTTTTCGTCTCTGATTGAGTCACGCTCAGTCTGCCAGACGCTCTTTTCAAGCTGGAGGGCATCCTTCTCATCCTGAAGAGAGTCATTCTCCTTCTTCAGGACATCTCTCTCCTGTTCAGTTTTTTCAAGTCGAGCCAGTACCTCGGTATTCTTCATGGCGAGGAGGTCGTTTTCTTTATTAGCCACCTCCAGGCTATCAGAAAACTTACGAGCCCTGGCGTTCCCCATCTCCACCTGCTTCTGCATAGCCATCATTCCGAACAATGTCTGCATAGGTGTACATTAAGAACGGTTAAGCCAATAGTCAGGTCGGGCGAAGGCAAGACCAAATAATATGAGAGAATTCATGAGTTGGAAAATAAAAGTCACCTCCATAGCAGATTGGGGAAAGCGGCTGAACACATCCTTCTGGGATAGGCCCTTTGCCGCCTCAAGGTCTTTCGGAGTCCACATGCTCCTATAGTACGCCATGGCGGTCTGGCCATCCTTCAGCATGGTCTCGTTCGGTTTCACGAACGTCCCATCCGTTCGGGTGTACTGAGGGGCCCATGGCGGTAAGGTGGGGATAGAAGGGGGGCCTGAAGCAGAAGCGGAGCCACCAGCTGCAGTAGGCCCAGAGGGAGCAGGAGCTCTGATCGCACGGTGCAAGAGAGCACCCGGCCCGGAGACCCGGGTCCTTCTTATGAGAGGCTCCTCCTCTGGATCGACTTCACTGTCAGGATGAGGCCTTTTGCCTCGTTCTTTGTCCCGAACGCCCCCCGCAGCAGCAGGGGCTGTGGTAGTTTGGGGAGACGCGCTCTGGTTGGCAGCAGGGGTGCTGACAACAGAGTTAATAGCCACTGTGCTCGGGATAGTGTCAGAGATGGTGGCTGAGGAAGAGGCTGATGCTGGAGAGGAGGTCGCCCCAGCAGCAGGAGTGGCTGGGGGAGTATTTTTCTTCCTGCCAAAAGAAGGAATCTGAAGCCTGCTCATGTTGTAGCCGAGTGATGAGAGCGCTAAGAGATTGTCTGAAGTGAGGAGATCTGAGCAGGAAGGAATATCGTTCAGAACGTATTTCTTCAAGTAATTACTCCTATCCCTGCAAACACTGTAGCTCAAGTCATCACAAGGTATTCCTAAGGAACGACATAAGAAAGTACAAAAACGGGGAACGCATGTTTCGCAGGGGCAATCATGTTTATGAGATTTGAATTTCTTATAGGAGGAGACAGAACAGACACCAAAGGCGCTCGGGATTGGGTAACCCTCTGCAGCCGGCGAAGACCAAGCCCCACTAATACCCACAATGCTATCCCTCCAACCCTTTTCAGATTTTATTGTGTCCGTACATATGGACATCTTCTCGAACGGGTAGAGGTGGTAGAAGGGTTCGTTGGTACGGATCTTACTGACCTTATAGCACAGAAGAAGGTCTATGAGGTCAAGGTCCAGATTTCTGTCACGCATCAACAGGAGCATAACGGATATGATTCTAAAGAAGTTAGGGTTGACCTGCAGGGGGGATATCCCCAATCTATTGAAGACATAACTAAAGAAAGGGTGCAGAGGGAACCTAACAACATTCAATTGAAGGTTCGTGAATAAGACTTCGCCGGGCAGGAGGCCGGCACCGGTCATAATGTTAACATCCTGAGGGCAAACCCTAACTTCGATGTTGTCAGGAAGTCTAAGTCTCATACAAAGAACATCCAGATCTACAACCATGGTGGAAGTGCTTGAAGGATCTAAAAGGGGGTAAATAGAAGCCTGCCGAAAGTAAAAAGGAACAAAACTAACCTCAGAGGACTGCAAGATCGCTGGAAGAATGACTCTTGAAGGATTTCACCAGAAAAAGCTTAGCACTGTTCTAGAAAGAGAGAGATTTGACTGATGATGGAGACGCTAAAAGGACGTGAAGTGGTATTCTAGAGCCTTATAAAGGCGAGGGGGGCCCGAGGGCCGAAGCGTCGGGAAGGCGAGAAATTCCTCGAGCCCCGGAACATTGATTCTGGATCTGACCGTCCGTTCCCCCACGTGGTTTTCTCGAGCCGTCAACGTCATGATGAGACGCCATCAATAATTACCCCCTTATTAAATAAGGGGCAATTATGGGGGCAGTTGAGGAGGCCCAAGACGACATGGGCCGGATCTGACTTGCAAGCACGACATCCGGTCGGTACAGCTGGTTCGGCCCATAAAAAGACACTGCCATATGGGCCGAACGCGAATAAGCCCATCAAAGGTTACCAGGACTTATGGAGGAACAGGCCCAGATCCAGCAATCCGTCAATATTTGTAAATATCTTGTAAATATCTTGTAAATATCTATAAATAAGGGAAGGAATGGAGAGAAGGGGAGGATCTTTGGGTTGAAGTGTAAGAATTCTAGAGAGAGAAAGAGGGAATGAATTTCTTGCATCTTCAAATATATTTAGAAATAATTATTTTAATAGATAACTATCACAATTTAACATGCCCCACCTAGAAGCATGGAGGAAGGAGGAAGGAGGAAGGAGAAAGGGGTACATAAATTGAGAATTCTAAAAATTCAGAATTCTAGAGAAGAAATACTAAAGCTCCCAAACTTAAAGGCGAAGAGCAACAAGCATATTATCCTGTCATTCTTCATTAACATTCCACATTTTATTGAAAATTAATAAAATATCATTTATTCCTTTTTCGTTTCTTTATTTGTATACACGAATTTTGCAAATAAAAGAAGATACTTTATTTTTAAAAAGTAAATCTTGTTTATTTATTGACAACTATAGAAAATGAAATTTTAATTTCACTTTTCTCTTTTAAATAATATGTCACACAGAGGGGTGGAGCCAATGTATTCCCAGGGGCATGTGCCCCTGGCCTGGCCCCACTTACTATAATATAAATACTAAATTTATATATTTTTACATGTATATATGAAAAAATTCATATAATGCCCCCCTAAAATTTTTATTTTCTAAATTATATCTTAAATTTTGTATTTATTCCATTTTTCACTCTTTAAATTCATTTAATTTCCTTTAAAAAAAAAATCAAAATTTCGTTTTTGAATCAAACTCTAATTTTTTTTCTTTCAAAATTCTCTCATTTTTCTTTCCTTTTTAATTTTTTTGTTAACTATTTATCGTTCTTAAATTACTCATTGATTGACATATTATTTTGAGTAATTTTTCTTCTTTGTCTATTAATTTATAGAATTCATATTTATTGTTGTGATTATTGATTTTTTTTATTTATTATTTTACACTGTGCCCCCTGAATTTAATTTCTAGCTCCATCCCACTATATCAATTTCTATTTACATTATATGTTTGAAAATTAATTTTCAAACATACAATACTTAATAATAAAACTCAAAGGGGTTGACTCAAGTTGGTAAGTTCTTTGATCATAGTGTCTTATGAAGTATCAAGTCTAAGATTCAACTCCTTTTAAATGCAAACAATAACTTGAGTGGAAATGCGAGTATCACTAGAAAAAAATGCAGAGACGAGAGTGCTTTGCACTCCACTTTTTACTATTTGACTCTCCTTATTTTTTCTTTAAAAATAAAACAACATATCATTTCGCTATCTTAGGACCGTTATAGTTATGGTCGCCGGCTCCCATGTCATCAATTCACCAACTTCCTTGACCTTACGACTTTGGGAAGACTTATGTTTTTTTATAAACAGTCGCCCCCGCTTGGTCACTACGAATATTACATTTTGACTCCACAATTATTACAAAAAGACTATGTTCGGGGCATATAATTGGAGCTTTGGAATTAGACTTGGCAAAATTAGAGAAAAGAAATTAAAAAAATTGAACCAAAACTTTTTCCAATTCCAATTCTAATTCCAAGACTCAAATTCCACACCCTGAAACATAACCAAAGTATAATTGCACACCTTTATTTTTTCTTTTCTTTTTTAGTTTATTTTACTTTTCATGACAAGAAAGTAGTTACAACACAGGCACAAATCCCCTGCTGTGAGATTCCCAAGTTGTCCCCTGCTGTGAGTTTTAAGTGGCCTATATTTTGTCACATCATTCTTCATTTAATAGCTCTTAAGGCAGCGTTTGAGTGGAATTGAGGCAGCGTTTGGATCCTTCTTCACCACCATTTATAAGTATCTTCACACACAAAATAAGTTATGTACATAATACAGACTAAGTAATGTCGCATACAAAATATAACTCAATTCAACATACTGTGTTTGACAATTACACTACCATTTATAAGTAACATTTCACTACCATTTATAAGTATTTTCACTCTTAAATTAAGGTATGCACATAAATGGTGATATTATTTTTAAATTCCTGTAATGTTACTTTTTAGATTTTGTGATGTTACTTTTTAGATCTTGTGATGTTACTTATAAATGGTGGTGAAATGTTACTTAAATGGTGATGTTACTTTTAAACTCCTGTGATGTTACTTTTTAGATCATGTGATATTACTTTTTAGATTTTGTGATGTTACTTATAAATGGTAGTGAAATATTACTTATAAATGATGATGTATTTGTCAAACACGATTTCAATTGTCAAATGATGGTGAATGGCTTGACCAAATATAAACCACATAAGAACTTACAGCAGGACAGCTTGGGAATCTAGATTTGCGCCCGTTACAACACAGGTATGGACTTATCGTTTTCAGCAAGATACAAAATACTGAAGTAGAGCGCAAGCGACGACAAATCAACTCTGTGAAAAAAAATTTACTACTATGTTTTTAACTTTAAAGTAAAGAGTATTGCTATTTGGGCCGAGACTCTAGGCCCAGGTCCACTATCTCACTGGGTGATCGGTCCAACTAGCGTTTTTGTTAAGCAATATATACACATTCCCTTATCCGGAGACATTGCAAAAAGCTGAAGAAAATGGTTGTTGTCACAGTTCACAGTCCTGCTTGCTCCTCCTTGTTTCTTCAATCATCATTGCCTAAACAAGGTAACACACACGCACACACACTCTCTCTCTCTCTATATATATATATGAATGAATATATGTTTATGTGTGTTTGTGGGTGCGTGTGTTTGTGTCTGTGTTTACAGCATAATTTTCTTATATATCACATAGAGATGATTTTCATGTAATGGTGCCATGTTCTAAACTTTGCAGTCTGAAAGAGGAATAGAATATTACATGATCTTGTCCTTACCCGGAATTGGATCAATACTGAATCCTCAACCATTTACGAAATTCCAATGATCAGTTCTTTCATGTATTTTTGGCGAGCCCATAGATTAGAATGAAGAAACTGATTTTAACCATCCTAATTTGGATTATTCTAATTATTACATGTTATTTGTGTGTTTTAGTGTTCATCTCATTAAATCGATTCATTTAAGTACTTAATGGTTGCAAATCAATGTGAATATTGCAGCTAATTATAGCTAGTTTCGTCTGTGACCCGTTTTTATTTTCGGGTTGTGGAAATCTAGTCTTTATTGTAACCCAATATATTAGGGTGCTATGCTGGCTGGGGTTTCTAGTGTGAGATAGACAGAACACTGAAGGCTGAACATAGAGAGGGAGAGAGACAATGGGTTGGGGGGTTTGATAACTTGTAATCTCCGGTCTTCTTCACATAGTGAAATCTCTTTGTTAATTTTTACAGTAGGCCATAAGCGGAACCATGTAGATGTTTGTGTATTACCAGGGGCAGAGGCAGGATTTCATTTCCCGGGGGAGTGTATTGGATACAAAAAAAAAAAACTAATGTGGCAAATATGGATTGTTCAAATCAAAAGACAAACAAGAAAAAAAGTAGCATAAGAAAGAAAAATAATTGACAAATATAAGAACAAAAATATTGATTGGTAATGGTTCCATTGAATACAGTTATAATTGTCCTTGATGTGTCTTTGTATTTTGAAAGTGATGCATAAAATTATACACACTAAGTTCATAAAATTACAGTAATAAATTGAAATAAGAAGAATAGAAATAAAAGGAATAAGAAGAGAAAAAAAGGTTATAGTACATACCACATAGAAAAAAAAATGTAATTTAAATAAGAAGAATAGAAATTAAAGGAATAAGAAGAGAAAAAAAGGTTATAGTACATACCACATAGAAAAGAAAAATGAGAGAACTTTGAAGGGAAAATATTTAGGGTTTGATTGAAGAAAGGGAATTTAAATTTTTTTAGAAAAAAAAATATATAAAAAATAAAATAAAAAGTTAAAGGAATTTGAAGAGAGTAAAAAAGAAAAGAAAAAAAAAAAAGGAGATAATTTTAGCAATTGTAAATTTTAACAGGGCAATATGTGAAATTTATGATATGTAGTGGGGCGGGGCACGTGTTCTTCCCCCGCCGCCCCCGCGCCCGCGGGGCCCTCGGCAGCTCCCGTGGGGCCTACATTGGCTTCGCCCCTGTGTATTAATGTATTGTGTGGTGCACGATTTACAATTTTTTTTTGTCTTTCATTGTGTCAATGGTTGGCGGTGTTTGTTGTAACAGTTTTTGTTTTACTAATGTATAATTAATCTTGACATTATAGGACATCATAGTTCAAAGAAGTTGAATTCAAGATTTGCATCCGTCGACATTGTAGATAAATCAAAAACGAGAACAATGTCTTTAGTAAATTGTAAACGTAATGCCAGCATTGATCTTGAAGTCGGTGAACGGCTTTATCTTGGGATGGACTTTGGTACATCTGGAGCTCGGTATGCTCTTATTGACAAGGAAGGTGCTATATGTGCTGAAGGGAAGAGGGAGTATCCTTTATATATGGTAAGACTGTTACCATCAAATTAGTCTTTAAGACTGGTCTTAATTCTTACTCTTATATGATGAAATGGAGGCAGCTTAGTTGCAGAGACATGATTACTTAGGACTGTCTATGCTGACAGTTAATCTGACGGATGTTTATTCCTTTCTGTCACTTTCTGAACTACTATTTATATTGTAAATAGTTAAGTTTATAAGATGCTTGGGTTTGTCATCTAGTTCTAAATGTTTACTTGTCAAATGGTATTTCAATTTTTTGCAATAAATGAAGTTATACTTAAGATTGTAAACATTGAAGTGGGTCAGCAAGAAACATCGGATGTGAAGTGTACTCTAATTAGTGTATATTCCAATTCAATTGGAATTTTCTGTATGAGCTGTGCTCAGAATTTTTTTTTTTGGCAAGAAACACACTCACACATCCAAAATGCCCCTATGGGGCTTGAACCCTCAACCTTCTCCTGTGGAAGGTGAGAAAGTACCATTAGGCTACATTGAGTCATCTGTTTTTGTAAAATCTTGAATGCAGTGATTCCTATAATGCATGAGAGAACATTTGGTTGAAGATGGATTCGTTGCACTTTTTAAACATAAATTTCTTGGGATTCCCGTCAAATAATGTAATCTATACCGAAAAGTACATCAGTCCAAAGTTCAAACTAAGATTATGAAGAAACTGTTGTTTCTGTACATTGAATAACAACCTAAAAATTCCTTTTTAAGGGAATGGAACATCCTTAATAAGAGGAGTACAATGCTTCTTTCTGTTTCTGCACCAAATTCCATGGTCAAAATAAACTTAGAAGCTTGTTTGTTTTTGTTGTCTAGAAAGAGCAGAGAAACAGTGGATTGGGTGCACTCATGGAAAATGACACTTTTCTCACTCCTTGAAGATGTTCCTGCTAGTCTCCGTCCATGTATTGCATCGATTTCCATAGATGGGACTTCTGCAACAACTATTATTGTAGACAGGTAGATACCTTAGAGCTTTGTTGCTAATCCTTATGACTTTTCTCTAATCAATGCCTCATTCGAGCTTGGCATCCAATTTTGTTACTGCAGCACAACAGGAGAACCATTATGTAGACCTTTCCTTTACAATGAGAGTTGTCCTGATGCTTTGCCAATGGTGAAGTCCCTTGCCCCTCCAAACCACACAGTCTGCTCTGGTTCCTCTACCCTGTGCAAGCTTGTCTCGTGGTGGAATTCTGTTGATTCAAATAAAGAATCTGTAGTCTTGCTGCATCAAGCAGATTGGTTGTTGTGGCTTCTTCATGGAAAGATTGGCATTTCCGATTACAACAATGCTTTGAAGGTATAATTTGACTCTAGAGATGCCTTGCATTTCATTCTTCACCTCTTGAACTCTCCGTTTATTAGATGTTTTTTGTCAAGAAAAGTATTAAATATCCTTTACCGCCACAGGTTGGCTATGATCCCGAACTTGACTCCTATCCAGACTGGCTGCTCTCTCAGCCATATTCACATGTTTTGCCTTCTGTCCAAGCTCCTGGAACTTCAATTGGTTCAGTCAAGGAGAATATTAGAACACAATTTGGTATGTTGGCCTTTAATCAGTAGTGCATCACTTAGGGCCATGTAGCACAAAAGTTCTAATTCTTTTTGTGTACACTCCAGTATCTGTAAACAAAACAGTAAACTTATTGGGGTCATATACTTCGAATTGGCATGCTATACACACACACACACACACGCACACATGTATAATATTTTCACGTCATAGATTTTGTATCTGTGTAATGGTCACTTTGTGTTAAAATTACGGATATACTCTAGTATCTCCAATCCTCTGTTTTTATGGCTTTCCTCTTTCCCTTTGGGACTATAATGTCCAGTGCTGTTCTCCCTTTCAATTGTTGCCTAAAAGTTACATAGAAACCTTCATTTATATGATTATTTCACACAAACATGTTTTCTTGGATACTTAACAGAAAATTGAGCATATGTCATATTGCATTTACATTTGAATAATCAACATGAACTTTCAGTTGTGCAAAACATTTTGAAATATTAAATTCTATTGAGAGAAAAAACATATTGAGAAACTTCTTTCTCTGTGATAGATTGATCACTGCAGAAGGCTATATGGAAAAATACAGATGCTATCAGTGTTGCATTTTATTCCAACACATGATATCTGCTCTTCTGTAGGAAATTTAACTCATGAACTACGAGATTGTTTTGTGCTTTTTAACCGTACTCTTTCCCTGGTCTCAGTAATATTTTATTAGTAGTATTACTATGTGAACATTTTCTGTTCTTTACTCCTATAACAGTGATAATTATGAATATTTTATAAGTAATAGTGGAAGTGATCTATCATGTTGTTGCACCTTTAACGCGTTCTAAGTTGGCAGGCTTCTAAGTTTTGAACTGTACCTGACATTATTCTGAAAAAAACATCATTTCAGGTTTTCCAAAAGATTGTGTTGTGTGCACAGGAACCACTGATAGTATAGCAGCCTTCCTTGCAGCACGTGCTACACAACCTGGGAAAGCTGTGAGATATTTCCTGGCTTAGCTTTCTCATTTGAAATTTTTTTAGTGCGTGCATGGTAATATTCTAAGATGGTTTTTAGGAATTAGGATTGGTGTAAAGGACAATGGTGGAGTCAAGAATTTATTCTAGTGGGGCGACCTTGAATAATAATAATAAGACAAAAGTTTTTCTTTTCCAAAATAATAAATACAAGAACTTGAAAATTTTGATTGATTATATTTGCATTTAGTACATTTATATCTATAATCTCTTTCATGTTTTGTAAATGTTGCATGATAACCTCATTATCAATTAATATTATTAAGTTTATCTTCTTCAACATGTACAATGCAAATGACTTTCCCACAAGAAACTTGTTTTATAATACTCACTCTGTCCAAAAAAAATGTCCCTTTTTGGGAACTGTGACTCACAGTTCCCTAAAAGAGACATTTTTTTGGGGATAAAGGGAGTAAATATATGGATGGTTCTAGCTATACTAACTCCTTATGCAATTAATAATCGCTATCAAGACCAAAACAAACTCATTCATTTGACTAGCTAACAGATAAACCAGAACAAATTGAATATTTACTAATGGAATTTCTATTCCACAAAAAGAGCAAGATTGAGTGAAAGAAGGGGATTTGGGTTTCTTTTTATTGGCTTAGGCCCTAGGGCCAAGAAATTAAGGCAAAGAGAGAGTTCATGTGGCCGACTCATTCATATGGGAATAAGGCAAGGATGACGATGGTCAATATTTTTATTTTATTTTATTTTTTTGATAAGAAATTGATTGAAAAAAGTGCTACAATTCAATTTTGCATGCTTTTGTAACTTTAAGAAGCGATTTATGAAGAAAAAGAGAGAGATCGGTTGCTGAAGTTGTATATATGATCTTTCTGAGTCATGGCAGAAAGAGGCAGTGAGAGTTAAGAGAGAAAAACTGAGAAAAGTAAAGTCTGAAAACAGTTGAGACTGATATGTTCTTTTTGATAATTTTAAGTGAGCATATTTAAAATTAGAAAAGATTAAACACACAGAGTTAATTAAATGTAAAAGTTGAGTAAGGGCGTCTGTCCCCACTAAGCATTATGTGGCTCTGCCACTGGTAAAGGAGGCATGCATCAAGTAACATCTTTCCATTTTATGAATCCAATATGATCTGACCATCCAATTATCTCATAAGATCTCTGTTTGAGAAAATATATAAGTTGGGGGGGGGGGGGGGGGGGGGGGGGGGGGGTTGTTGGATTGTTACTTTATTTAATTAGACAATTTTTTATTCTTAAGATGTGTTTGAAATGAGGGAAGAGAAGAAAAATAAAAGAAGAGAAGGGAAGAGTAAATGATTAATTGCTTTTGTTTGAATGAGAAGAGAAAGTGAGAGGAGAACAAAATAAAAAGGTAGGGAAAATGAAACGAAAAAGGGAGGTAAGAGAAAGGAACAGAAAGTGGAATTATTTTTAAAATGTTCTCTTCTCTTGTTTGGTAGGAGAAAAGAGAAGAGAAATGGGATGAAATAGCAATTATTATTTTAATCATTTTTTTTTTCTCCTTTTAAGTTATAAACACATTTAAAATTCTGAGTCTTTAAGAATTTGTTTTAATGCTTGTTGTAAGTAGGTCACATCATTGGGTTCAACACTTGCCATAAAACTACTAAGCACCAAGAGGATAGAAGATGCACGGTTTGGGGTGTATAGCCACCGTCTTGATGATAAATGGCTTGTTGGAGGTGCTTCGAATACAGGTGGAGCTGTTCTTAGACAAATTTTTACTGATGAACAACTGGAAAAATTGAGCGAGCAGATCAATCCCATGGGAGCCTCCCCTCTGGACTACTATCCACTGCAAGCAGTGGGCGAGAGATTTCCCGTGGCAGATCCAAAGATGGAGCCCAGGTAGTTTATCTTGTTTATTCGTATGGAATTTGTAAGAGTGATCACAAATCTTACATTTTTTATATCTGTTGACTCTACTTTTCAAAATTTGCACGTCTTCATGTGTTAATTACATTCATCATTGCAATACTAAAGTATTGTCCCCTTAATTTCTCTACAAGTACCATATCGTCTAAATAAGTACCTTAATCCAAAACAAGAAGCTGCTGTCTTCATCATAGTTCATGATGTGAAATGTATATCTGCTAGGACATATAAAAAGCAATGAAGAAGCTCAAGAGCCAACTTGGACCCAATCATTCAGCATCTGGAAGAGTTTTTGGAGTTAAACTCTATCAGGTGGACTATAAATGATTAATGTAAAATCATGTCTTTGAAAATAAGTAGGCTGAATAAAAGTGATATACAGTTGACCCTCTAATAATTAATTTTTAATAACTTGATAATTCTCATTATTGATACGAGTCAACCTGATCAAATAGTAGACAATTTTATATTACTTAGTAACAAATAATTTTTTTTTAAAGAAACCCTGATTATGTTATAAATTATTAGAACATAAATATGCGTAGAAATGTGAATACGCATATTAAGAAAGTTTGATAATGTTATCACTTATTTCATGTTTTAGATTGTGAAATATTCAACCAATTAAAAACATAAGGTGATTTCCTATCTCAAGAACATTTAAGTAGTAATTTGTTAATTTAAATAATACGAGCATATTTTTTTGCCTTAGAGGAGAATATATTTATATAAAACTTCTTTTCTATAAAAGTGTTGGTAATAATAGCTTTGAAAATATAGTTAGTGTCATTTGTTTCTTGTACTTCTTGGTTGTGGTTGGAGAAAAATTCCATGCTAAATAATTGTATTAATTAATAAATTTAGTGACTCCAACTATTACTAATTATTACCGTATGAAACATGATAACAGATTTGATCTTGGTCCTGATTCCAAAAGATTATAGTTGTTATTGCACAAAATTTGTAGTGTAATTTTCTATGTTACACGAATTCTTTAAAAGTAGTGAAGTACCCATGCCGGGCACATATTGCTCGGATATGGGTATGAGATATGGGTCCGACATTTTTGGTTGGACATGTTATGACGACCTTGTGGGCGGGTGTGCTGTGGGCGGGTGCGAGGCACTGGTAGGCTACCACATTGGGTGAGCTACGGGTGCACAATCCCACATCGCCTGGGTAAGGGAAAGGTGAAGTGCTTATATGTGGTGGTGTTATCTCCAATTGGTATGAAGCCTTTTGGGATAAAACTCAAGAGTAAAAGCGTGTAGGTTCAGGCCCAAAGCGGACAATATCATACCATGTGGTGGAATGGGTCATTACACATGTACTTAAAATGAACATTATATTAGAAAATAAATATTTAGCAGTGTCCGTGTGTCTTTTTGTTTAGAGAATTCACACGTACGATGCATGGGATAAACAAAAGAAATTAGGACTTTTTCCCTGTAAAGTTGTTATCATGGATTGAAGTGCATACTATGAGTTATAATTTTGTTTAGCTGTGTAAAGAAGAATATTTATCATTGGTTTTTAGCTTGTCTCTGTAAAACCTCCAGCATCACATGATCATAAATTATGAGTCATGATTGCTAGGTAAAATCTATATGGAATTTTGAAATAGTTGATAGGGTCTGCTGGATATAGAAGCTTGAGTTTCCGTGTGAATATCTTTGGTATCAAGTCAGCTCGGTTACTTGGACAATCAAATTGCCTTGTGCACGTACACAACACAGGAACATATAGTTGACCAATTATTGCAATTTGTGCAGGTTATATCCACGGCCAGAAAGTGATGTTGAGTATTTGCATGGTATTCTTGAATCCATTGCGAGCATAGAGGTACAGAAGTTCTTTGCTCTGTGTTATTTCACATAGTAGAAAAGACATGCCTTTCTTTACTACAACCTTGTGGCAATACTCACTTTTAAGTTATTTAGGCAAAGGCTTATACCTTACTGAAGGATCTAGGGGCAACTCAAGTTGAAGAAGTGTACACGGCAGGGGGTGGTGCAAAGAATGAGAAATGGACAAAGATACGAGAGAGGGTACTCGGTTTGCCAGTGAGTCGGGCACTTCAAACCGAGGCTGCCTATGGTGCTGCTTTATTGGCATTGAGAGGTGCTAAATAGAAATCTTAAATATTCTACCTTGACTGCAGATCTGAATTCTGGGTTGAAGGCGAAACAGAAGAAAAAAAAGATGATCAAAGAACTAAGAGCCCTGTGACAGAGACTGAGTGTCCTTTGATTATGACTCAATTTTAAATAGTATATGTGGATTCTGTAATGTCGGAACACTAAATTAGGAATACTAAACAATGTTTAATTTGTTAAATTTTCCAAAGGTTCGAAGGGGTTTATGTACAAGTTCTTTGTGAACTGCAATGAAGTTAATGTTTTGGGGCACCAAATCATTGTCTTAGAATTAGGATCGGAGGAAGCCGCTGATTTCGTGCTCCTAAAGGCGAACATAATTGTTTCTTGGGGTACCATTTCTTGTGTGTTGGTATGAATTGCACCAACTTAATCATTCAAAAATTGTGTAGCTACATGCACATCAGCAGATAACATGTTCCTAGTTTTCTTATGTGTGCGTATGTATATATATATATATATATATATATATTTATTTATTTTATCCTGACAATCTTAATTTCCCGGGTGGTGCCCGTATTCAAGTCTCCCTACAGAGACATCTTCCCTAAGATTGTCTCAAACATCTTTCTACCTTCTCGTCTATTATTTTCTCATTCTTCTTACCAAACCGAAAAAACAAGTTTATTGGTTATGATGCTGGTGTATGGTCTGTGTGGGGGTGTCGTGTATGGTGTAAAAATAGATGCTCTCTTATTTGTAAGCTCAGTTATGACACCAAGCAGTGTGCCAATGTCTTACAAAATGTCATCTAAGCATTCGATTCGGCTGCTCCCAAACATAACAATTAACTCGTTAAATTCAAAATGTGATCTTTGATTTGCAATCTCGAAGTCCTTGTTTACTAGGCATTTGAATCCCATATAGCAGTAATCCCTACCTCTCAATAATCATCTGAACTTCTTGGTCTTGATGGCCTTAGAATTTGGGATCCGTCGTATGGCTTTCTACGAGTCTTTGATAGACTATGGCACCTCGGCGTTTTTCATATCAAAGCTGTCCATATAACCAAACAGTTTTATAATAGGTTCTTGCTCTACTGTCCCATTTTTAACAACAACAACAACAACAACAATAACAATAATAATAATAATAATAATAATAATAATATTCCCTCTCCTTTTTGAACTGTCTCAAAATAAATGTCCACTTTTATTTTTCAAATAATATATTTTACATATTTTCATATATGTTTTTGGAGTTTAAAATTTTAAGTTTGAATATTCAAAACTTAAAGGGGCAAGTTAGTAACTTTCCAAGGGAGCAATACACGTCTCCTTAAAAATTTCTACTCCCAAAAACGGACATTCTTTTTGAGACAGAGGGAATAATGGTTAAGAAAAATTGAAGACTAGAGTTATGTTTCAAATTAATATAGTAACTCTATATATTTATGAAGACAAAGTATTAATTTTACCATTTAATCTACTATATTAATATGTTATTTATGAGTCAAGTTTAAAGTTACATTAAATACTTAATTAATGTCTTCTAAATATATTAGTATAAATAGTATGGTATATGAAACCTACGACACACACACTTTCTAAACTAGTTAGAGTGAAGGAAAAGAGATTTGAAAAAATGTTTTCAAACTATTGAGTTTGAGTGTGTGAGTTTCATATTTTTAGTTAATCGGACGGAGATAAATACACAGGTTCTTGAAGAGAAGTGCAACTTTCATGAACATACAGATTAATATCTGGGCTCAGTTGAATTGCGTAGATAGTGTTGCCATTATGCTTCCGTTGCACATGGGGGAGGCTTCAACTATCTTCCAGAAGCAATTATGCACCTCTAAGCCTCGATACTCACTGTTTTAATATATCGGTTCCAACAATTTGAAGATAGTTTTCTCTCAAATGGTTTCATCTTCGTTGTTATCCAATGGTTTTTTCAACCGAATATCGAGGTTTTTTATGGTAAAAAAACAAAAATTACCAACTGTGTCAAAATGGAAAATGAAATTTTTCCTTAGACAATTGAAAATTGCTTATGTCATTACTAAGCCATGTCCAACTACTCTGGGTGAAAAAACACCATATGATCAAGTTTTAATTTGATCAATGAGAAGATCACAAGGTGGTCTCGTCCTAATAAAGATGATCAAAATTCTTCCATACCTATTAATTAATTAGTGGGGGAATCATGTAACCCAATATCATATATTGGTGGGCACAAGGACAATTGAATGACATTACACTTTTGGTGTGGCTTCAAGGTTATTTTTGAATTTGCTATGTTTCTTGAAATAATCATCTCTTTAAAGGTATGTCTAAATTTATAAAATACTTTATATTTATGTTGCCAAGTTTATTGATTAATAGCATGTTATAAACTTAATCAAAGGATCTGTTAGGGTTTGATTGAAAGGTTATGGTAAAACCTATATGGATCAATGCATTATAGGTAGCATATGAAAATTTAGTGGTCTTCATACATGTTGAAAGAAATATGGTACATTAGAACTGATCTCCATCGATCACATTATTGATTCTCATTTTGAATATACTTATGTTTATTACTTGAAAGCTGAAAGCTCGAGAAGGTTACTTTTTGCTAATAAGTGCTAAAATATGCACATATTTAGCCCTAATCTAAGGTATTTTAGACCTTGCTTCTATTTTTATTTCCCCGTTTTAGTCCCAATTTATGTTTTTGTCAATTTTAGGTCAATAAGGTTCAAACAGGCTAAAATCAGTTCATTAAAGCCTTTTTGGAGTTAAACAAATGCCACGGGAAAAATCCAAAAAATTCCAGAAAATGGGCCTACGATCGATCGCAAGGCCACATCATCGTTCGCCATTCCCACTCAATTCACGATCGATTGCAGGACCCCTACGATCGATCGCACTGCCTCGTCAGCACAGATAAGTCAAAATTTAGATAAGGTCAAGCCACGTTAGCACGATCGATCGTAACCAGGTTGTGATCGATTGCACTTGGGGTTACGATCGATCGTAACCTGCCTAGCAGTGGCTATTTTATTCCCGATTTTGCCTGAACTTCACTTACCAAATGGCTACGGGATATTTTGGGGCTTATTTTTGACCTGTTTTGGGCTCCAAGGGTCTTATATAAAAGGGGAATTGAACCATTTATAAAGGGGTTAGCCATTATTTCATTTAGTTAGCTATTTTTTGAGAGAGAAAGTTAAAGATAAAGATTAGGGTTTTGAAGTGGAGGCAAGAAGATCTCTAGAAGGAGCATTTCTATCTTTAGGATTTCAAGTAAGAACAAGAAGAGGAAGAAGATGAAGTAAGGCATCGGGATGGATCTAGAGGACTCTTTGATGATATCTACACCCTCCATGAGTGGGTAGACTTCTCCTTAGGGCTTAGATGAGCCCTAAGCTTGTAATCTAAACTTTTGCTTTTCATCTTTTTGGGGATTTATATGTTGTAATTGATACTATAGTCTTGTGAAATGAATATTAGGTTCGCCTTTGATTTCTATGGTTAATTATTCCTATTGATTTCCTATGTTGGTTGCATGTTGTCTTATGTGTGATTAATTGGAAATCAATCTCTTCACTAAATACTTTTTGTAATTGATTTAGTGATGGCTATGCATGATTTTTGTTGTATACAATTGTCAATTAATTTGATGGATTATGCTTAGATTTGATGGATTGCACTACACCTCTAGTTTAATTGTTGCTTAATAGTAGTTTAATTGCATTTTAATTGTAGTTAGGTAGACAATCCATGCTTGAATTTGATAATTCATACTTATTATTGCAATTTGTATTATCCTCTTGATTAATGTGTGCTACACTTGTTGATTAATTTAATGGTTTATGCTTAAACTTGATGAATTGCATTACACCTTAGTTTACTTCTTGTTAAGTAGACAATTTATGCTTGTATTTGATATCCATGCTCATTATTGCAATTAGTAGCCACATTTTGTTTACAACAAGGTTTTTCCCCAATTAGTTGAAAGCTAGTGGTTTAGTGAATGAGCTTAGTGGTGATTCCTATGCCTTAAAACTCCTTTCCTATCTCTTAAACTCTACTCAATTTAGCTTAAATTCCATTGCATGATTTAATTTGATCATTAGTTTAACAAACCAAACCAACTCTCTTTTCAATCTCATTAGCACTAAAGTTCAAGTTTAATTCTAACACGTGTTCAATTTCTAAGGACGATCCCTTCTCACTATACTTCATTGTATAAGTGTGAAGAGGTTTTTACAAATTATAAAAGTTGATGCTCATTTGACCCAATTCTAAATCTATACATAAGTACATTATTTTATGTACACACTCAAGTTCGCATCATTCGCCTTATTAGATCATATTTTGTGATGAATGTGAAGATCATAAAAAAGTTTATTTGTCTTTTGGGATGCGTGCCATCGGATGATTGTAACTAGATCACCTCTCCACATTTCAGTTAGTGAAAATCATGTAAGATCATGACTAGTGGGGGTATTAGATAGCATTATAAGTGAAGACCTCTTCAAATTAGAAAGTGGCATGCACAAACATAATTTCTGGTAAATGATACATCTGAAGGAGGTCTTTAGATTTTCAAATAATGGCTTTCGAGATGAGTTTTAAATTCATCAATTTTTCATCTAAAATTGGTATAATTGTCGAAATGAGCCACTTTATTAACGATATGCTTTCCAGTTATAAAATTGATTTTTGGTTATTGATAAATTTCTTAATTTATGGCATGTCATACACTTGATTACATGAGTTTAAATTCATTAATCAAAAGGGTAAGGCTCAAATGGATCAAAGCATTACATACATGTAACATGTAAAACTTTGATTGATGTGTTGAAAAGACACTAATAATGGAGATTTGATCCATATTGACATGTTTGAAATGAGCTAATTATATTTATAAAGGAAAGTGCTATGTTATCATTTTTATTGATGATACTAATTTTTATCCTTGAAAGCTCATTTTTAAAGCTCTTAAATAGAGGAATGAAAGTTTAAGAAAGCAATGATTGCAGCTAAATTTCATATTGATAAAAGAAGATTCCAAGGAAATTATGGCAATTAGTATTTTCCTATAAAGTTCTTGACTTAAACTTTTGGCATGATGGATCTTAGGGAGGCCGGTGTGATTATGTAAATCAAAGTGTGGGGCCTCAACATGGATTTTCTCTCACACAATCCAATTTTTATCAGTTAATCTTGGAAGGTTCAACAGCTTATCAGATGCTGTAGTCTTTGTTCTTATTGATTCCAGATGGGAGCTAGTTTGTAATAAAGGAAATGTAGTGAATCAACTTGAATTCTCAAATTATTGGTGGTCTTTATGACGCGGTGAATTGCACCAAGGTAAACATAACTTGGGAAAATATCATTGCATTTCCTTTATGAGAATATTGAGGTACTTGCTGAGTTAATTGGGTAAGGATCTTATTGGAGGATACTCCAATGCGAAGTAATCTTATACCGCCCTTGAAATATTTTCGTGACAATAAGGTTGCGATGCTTCAAGCTCACAACGAGTGTTACAATGAAAAGTCCATACATGTGCAGTTGAAGCATAATCATCTAGAAGAGGTCTTGACTAATGGATTATC